GAACACGTGTACCATCTTTTGTCGGCACAATAGCCGCCCGTCACTCAAGACCTCACCTCCCCATGCAAATATAGCCTACCAACCAACGGCGGATCAAGAATGCACCTCCAAAACGGGATCGGATCTAGGCGGTCTGCGTACATGTCAGCAAGGGTGGAGACATAAAGAAGCACGATCTCCCCGTGCACATCAACAGGATGGCCGCCCCATTGATCGGGGATCATATCCCCGACCTTCGTCACATAGATCAGCACATGGCCGAGATTATTCCCGAAGAACCCCAAGCCCACATCCATCTTCATAGCGGGTGCCCCGTCCACATCAACTTCGTAGAAACGGATGGACTTACGTGTCATGCCATCCGCGAAATCGAAGTCCCTGGTGTGGTACCTGTCCCCCTGGTGGCGCATCTCGTACACCATGACGCCCTTGCCAGAGATGATACCGCGGCAAAAAACACACATGTCCATCTCTCTCTCTCTCTCTCTCTCTCTCTCTCTCTCTCTCTCTCTCTCTCTCTCTCTCTCTCTCTCTCTCGCCAAAGTCCTCCCCCTCTCCCTCTCGACCAATGGAGCCGCTCGATTCGCCAGTCAGCACGTGGCGAAGCGCACACCCGAGTACACCCAACTTCAAAAGACGATAGCAGGCCGATGAGGACAAACAACGCATAGGCACGGTACTCTATCTTGCGCAAAGACTGCGATCGCAGCCGATGCGGACACCTTTTTTATACGAGTCGAGGTGCGAACAGCCGGGCCGTTCCACTGACTCCGTCGACGTTGTCACGTCAACACCGAAATTATTTGATTTTTTTTTTTTTTTTTTTTCCGTTTTCTGCATGATCTGATTTGATGTATTTTTCCTTACATCATGGTCGGGGTCATGAACCTTTCCTCGGGAGGTAACGAACGGCCGTCGACGTGTCCCCGCCGGTGGTGTTCGACCGAGAGGACACACATGCATATACATGTATATACATATACATGGAACGTGGCCGAAGCGAAGGGCGTCGATGGAGAAGCACTGCGTGCAGTAGTACGGATGTTGCATGGCCGAAGCGAAGGGCGTCGACGGAGAAGCACTGCGTGCAGGTCATTTCTCGAGGGAGTGTCCTCATCCTAGGAGGGTGCCGGCTACTGGGGCTAATGCCACGGCTGTTAGTACTCCTCTACTTGCTCTGCCGGCTCCGACGGCCTATGCGGCTACACCTGCGATGATCCAAGCTCCTGCACCAGCCTTTGCTGCGCCCAGCTATGGAAGAGGTGGTGGCGGGGGGTATTGGAGGCAGACACTTGATCGGCCAAGGCTGTGAAAGAGCAAGAAGAAGAAAGACGTAAGGAGGTGCAAAAGGAGAGAGAAGAGTTTGAGGCGAGAGTGGGAGAGAGACTTGAGAACCGTCTGGCCTCAATATATGGACCGGGTGGTCCTGCCGGAGGTAAGGCTCAAGTGGCAGCGGTGGTCGAGGCGCCTGGTCAAAGCAAAAAAAGCGATGAGGTGGCTAGGCTGAAACGTGAGAACGAAGAGTTCAAGCGAAGATTGGAGAAGGAGAGTAGCAGCAACGAAGGTTCGATTGATAGAATATTGAGGGAAAACGAAGAGCTAAAAAGGAAGGCTGGTCTGGCTCGTGATAACGTGGAGGGCAACTTGGATAAGTTAATGAATGAGATACAAGAACTTCGCGAGGAAAGGAAGTTTGACAAGGACATATTGGTTGGCCTGAAGTCGAAAATTGGTATGCTGAAAAAGGAGAAGCAACTATCGATGGAAGAAACGGAGATGTGGAGGAACGAGGTCTTGAGGCCGGGTAACAAACGGGGTACTATATGTATCGGGACACCGGATTGCTCTACCCGTGCTCGTCAACGGATCATGGAATCGCCTAATAAGGACTTTAGGGAAGAGCTGCGATCGATGAAGGACAAGGAGTACTGTGCGTTAAGGGAGGTTGAAGCGCTAAAACAGAAGAGGGCTGAGGCGGAAGCCAGGAAACTGGATGCAGAAGCTCGCAGAGTCGAGGCTGAGGCTGAGGTGGCAAGATTGCGGGAGTAGGTGGAGAAGCTATCTACCGAGGACACGCGTTTACCGACGGGAGGTACGAATTTGAAAAGTCGCTTGGAAGCTGTGGTGGCAAGTGGGCGCAAGACCCTAAGGAGAGGTAGACCGAGAGCTACTCCCTCGAAAACATCGAGGGCCGAGAGCTTGGCTACTGTTGAGAATGACCGGTTTGTCTTCTTGCAGGAGGAGAGGAAGAAACTCAGGGCTCTCAAGAAGCTGGGTCTTGAAGCCCTATGCAAACAGGAGGGTATTAAGTACAAGACAGTGGAGGCAACAGCGGATGAGTTGGCTGAAGTACGGGCCGATGCCCGTTTTGGGAGGTGCGAGGGGAGCACCTCGAATTCGGGGGAGGCGGCAGAAATTGGCGAAGGGAGTGATCCGACTTGCGATCGGGAGGACGAAAATTTGGATATACAAGAGGTGCCATCAGACTCTGGTTGAGGAGACGTCCCGGACGTGGCTCGTCTATGGAGGATCGTAAACGGTTTTAAAACGAGATCTGAAAGGGAAGGCGATTCGAATCATGATTTCCAACAGGCTGTTCTTTCTCTTATTCTGCGTGGGGAGATTTCTTGGGCGGTTAAGTTGATTGATTACTTGCGTGTGATTAAGAATGATGGGGTTGACTTGGTGAAGTGGAAGGGTCCGGTCGTGTATGTGTTGCTGTCACCATGGAACAAGCATATGTATATAGGGGCTATGGCGCGATCCTTGGATATCAGGTGGAGAGAGCACCTGTTTCGGGTAAATAATGCGCAGATTGTGGAGTCGGGTAGAAGGAATCAACGGCTCTACAAGTGGTTAAGGAGATGTGGATCGCAGCAGTACGTCGCTTTACCGCTCATTTGTTGTCAGGAAGATGACGTGTTTGAGTTGGAAAGGTTCGTCATAAAGTTGTTGTCGCCGTACTTGAATAGTAGGGACCGATCGAGGAAGCATCGAAAACGTCGAGCAGGTAAACGTGAGCGACGAAGGAAGTCTCAGTCAACAAAGGTGGGTGTGACGACGAGAAATCATACAAATCTGTCGTTCGAATTGCCTGATGGTTCCTCTTCAGTAAGTCTTCTTAAAATTCCTAACTGCTGCAGGGGTAAGGGATTGACAAAGATGAGTGTGGTATGTCGGGGAGGTGGGTTGTTGGTTAACCAATGGAAACTATTGAAGCGTTGTTATGGCTCATCAGAAGTTAGTTCAGTGTTTGGGACTGCTCAACTGCGGAGAGTGAGGGGTTGGCTTACGAATGGGGTGTCTATTCAATTCAATTCTATTATCTCATTTTGCTCCTCCCTTGTTGTCTACAAACCGATGCTGGCTGGTCTGTTGAGTAACCCGCCCTCTCGCAAACAACTGTTTTCTTGGGACTTTGAAAGATTGGTTTGGATGTACAGTGTTGTGCATGCTTTTTCAGGAAAACGAACCAGATACTCGTTGAGGTGTATACTATCTGGTGTCATGCACCGTAGGTTTAGTTTTAACATACGCACTCGTTTGGTTGTAAAGATTACCTTTGATGAATCACTGTGTAAGTCGGGGGTCCAGAGGTTGTGTATTGCTCTGTTGGAAGGGTTGGACATATCGACCGGTTGGAAGTGGATGCTAGTGAGGCGGATGAGATTGGTGTGGTGGAAGAATCGCAGCATAGGTGATATCCTCCATAATTTCCGATTGGCCTCCAGAGAAGAAACCGCCTGCTGTTCTTGCATGGGGAAGTTCGGTGGGTTACCGAGACGGGATGGTCACGTATGTTTTCGGATGTCGGAGTCTGACTTTGCACCCGATTGGATTAAAAATGCCAGAAATATTCCTAGACCATCGAAGGGTTGTACCATCCGCATGCTAAAGAAGCAGGTACTATCTGCGTTTGAGTTGCTGTTGAGTCGCACAGGGGTGTCCTGTGAGGAATTGGTCGGTAGGATGTCAGGAGAACTGCTCAGTGCTTGTTTCAATCGATCTGGTGGTGTGAATGAGGCGGCATGCAATATAGATGAGGTGGATCGATGGAAGGTCAGACTGGAAGGGTTAGTGCGTTGTCCCATTGACCATAATCCGGGAGACACGTTTGTGTGCTGCCCGGTAATCTATCGAGAGGGTATGGATGGGTTGTTCCTTGATAACCCTGGTTTTGAGGTGTGTAACCGTAATGAGGTGGAGGTTAACGAGTGCAATGGTCGCAGATTCAAGGAGCTAGGTGTGGCTACGTTGGGGAGGTGGAATGAGCATGGCAGGTTAGGCAAATGCTACTCCATTCCGAAACACAAGGATACTCGAAAATGGAGGCCGATTTGCCCATCATACGAGCAGGGAGGGAATCAGGCTTGTAAACGGGTGGCTAGGGCTATCAATCAGATGCTCTGAGATTTGCCAGCGCGTGGCAATTTCAATATGCGCAGTACGGAGGATTTGTTGCAGAGAATTTCAACTGCAAACAGAGATTTGGATCCTGGGGAGGACTTTGTTGCAGGAGCATTTGACATCAAAAAAAAGTTTTGTAACTTACCTCATGAGGCGGTAATGGAGGTTGTCCGCTGGGTGATTGATTTTTGGACATTGCATGGCGGTACCAGTGTGTTGTTGAAAGGGAGAGGTAAAGGGGCTAAGGTAAGAATGGGGAATCTGCAACCCGGTTGGAAGGAAGTTAGTTTTGTGGATATTTTGAGGTTTGTGGAATTCGATCTGAGTTGCACATATGTAAATGCATGTGGTGTTGTGCTTCGTCAGCGGGTGGGAATTACGATGGGTAAGGCTTCGAGCCCTGCCCTCGCTTGCCTGCTATGTGGTTTTGCGGAGTTCACCTTTCTCGATTCACTGGGTACGCGGAGGATGATTACGTACGGTGCAAGGACAGTTGATGATGTCTCCATTTTTGTACGATATAGGATAGGAGATGCCGAGTCTCGAATGAATGCGGAAGGGGTGATAGAGAGGTTTAAGAGTTGTTATCACGAGAAGCTTGAACTCCAGCGAACGGACGATGGAGTTTTTTGGGATTTTTTTGGCTGCACCGTGGGTGTGAAAGCGGAAGGTATCGTGTGTGTAGCAAAACATAAGAATCAGAAAGAAGTGTGGAATGGAAAATTGACTTTCCAGAATCTTCAGGACTTTTGTCCGTACTCCAGTAGACAACAGAAGCTAGCTGTGATCGGTTCTTTTCTATACCGGGCAAAGAAGTTTACCACGCTGCAGGGAACGGAGGCTGCTTTTTTGTTGACACTGAAAATTGAACTCAGACAAAGGAGCTTTCCGGACCATTACTTTGATGCTGCCTTAAGAGCCTTCTCCTGCAAATTTGGGGGACTGTGGGAGGATTGGGTGGAATGCCTTACGGGTTGGGATTTCGATTGGAGGATAGGAAAGAGGGGCCGTGGAAGTTTTTCGTGAGTTTAGTAGCTTTTTATTGTTTTTTGTTTTTTTTGTTTTTCGTTCTCTTTTTCTTTTCTTTTTCCTTTTCTTTTTCTTTCTTTCCTGTGTCTTTCTCTCAGCATTGGTATCGGGTAAGACGAGGGTCATCTTGTGTGTCTGTTA